CACAAGGATTAGGTATGTAGTATATAATAAATTGATTTTGAAATTAATAATTGGTACTGTAACGAAATTGTTAAGGATCTGTCATGCTTGCAATGAATAATTGTATTTCTCAAAGTACAAAGAAACACCTTATGAAATGATTTTTGATCAACCTGCACGAAATGATCATGATTTCTGGTTACAACTTCATCAACAGTCCATTAATAAAACAATCATTGATGAAGAAGATATACCTGAATCCCTTGCCGATAATTTTAATTTAAATGATTATTCAGTGCGTATTAACATTCATTGTTACTAGTCACAAATATATATTTATATTCTTTTTCAAAGTTAATTGATAATAATTCTGAATATGCTGATGCTTGTTCACCAATTCCAATATTATCATCGAATACGTACATGCTTCAAAATAATAAGTAAGAATTTTATTTTTATGCAATTTGTTAGGGGTGATATCTTCACCCTTCTCTTTATTGAGAAAAACGATAACTGACTAGTTTAGCAATAAACAAAAGAGAAAAAAAACAATAGATAACGCACACATCTCTCCTCCTTCAAGAAGACAACACCGATAGATGTGGCGTGTGACTAGATCAGTGAGAAGAGATAGAAAATGAATTAGAGTGGAACGATGTGAAGGGCAAGCCCGTAACACAATTAAATTTATATTTTTATTGCATGTTAGTAATGATACTCAAACATCACACAAACGAATTCGTGAAGAAGCTGAAAAATATTATATTCGCACTGCAGGTAGTATTTTCCTATTTAAAATAATATTATGCGTGTTTATTTACAAGTAACGTTCATCGACATCGAATGTCGATTCACTAAGCCCTAGACAGGCAGCACTGAATGGTGAAAATCAATTGATAGCAGAAATGATTGCTGATTTGTGTTAGAAGCGGATGCTGATATTTCTGAAGGGGCGGCAGATAGCTCAATAAACACGACAATGATGTCTTGAGAGTAGAAGGACCGCGAGGAGACAGAAATCCAAATAAGCGAAATAAATCTTCAAAACAAACTTCTCTCAATAAAAGAAAAAAGACATTTACACGTACAAATCATTTTTGTCATAATCATATTCTCTAATCGTTATCAATCATTCTTTTTGTTCTGCTAATAAAACATACCTTATCTTTTGTTTGAGAATGTGAAATTTTACCTACATTATTGAAATGAATAAAAGACTATTCAATCAAGGCGATAACTTTCAATACTGCTATGTTGAATATAACTATATGATACATACGAACGACATCTATCAAGAACAAAACTAAATAAAGTACCCTAAACCACTCTCCCCCGACGACTCCCCGGGGAGTCCCCGCAAAGTAACGAAATCCCTGGGGAGTCCCTGTCGTGAGTCCCCGGGGACTTTTTATTTGTGGGACTCCCCGGGGATTTCTCTGGGGAGAATTGGTAAAGTTTTTTAAAAATTAAAAAAAAACTTCTTAATTTTTTTAAATTTTAAAAAATTTAGAAGAATTTATTAGTAATTAGATATTTCATCGATTTTGGTCATATAACTCCCCGGGGAGTCCCCATAAAAGAACGAAATCCCTAGGGACTCCCTGTCGTGAGTCTCCGGGGATTTGTCAGGGGACTTCCTGGGGATTCTTTTAGGGAGAGTTGACTAGGGTATTGAATCTAATTCATCTAAATGATCATCATTGGCAGTTTCAGGATTCCGTACCTGTATAAGAGCTCAACACAAAATATAGCACGTATTCACTACACAAAAACAAGATTACGAAAACACTTATTATTTAACCAATCACTCAATGTCCACATGCCCCCAACATTCAAAAAATATAGAAGAAAAAGATTTTTCATTAAAGGAAAACGAATTTAATGATAAATAAAATTAGCCAATCATTCAATGTCCCCATGTCCCCAACATTCAAAAAATATAGAAGAAAAAAAGATTTTCATTGAAAACAAGATAGAAAAAAATAATCTGAGACTTAATGCTAACCAAATAATTCAATATCAGATCTCCTCATTATCAAAAAAAGAATTACTTATCGCCTTTTATAGATAGAGAAATATTTTTCACATATCTTCATGTTCAAATAAGCTGAAAAAAGATGAGAAATCAATCAACATTCTCTCTTATGAATCACCATGAATTTTATTATACAAGAAAAAAATGATATTCCAATCTCAACTAGATTCCAAACTCGCCTGCGCCATATCCAAACAACTTGCTCTAGCTATTTGGGAATACGGTCATCCACAGCAACACTAGGCGTTTTATGATCAGCTCATCTGCGATAGCTGCCGCAAGTTTCTAACTGCCAATTATATGACTGATGGAATTCGCTTAAAATGTGAACGTATTTTCGGTAAAAGCTAAAATTAGTATGGAAAGTTATAAATGAATTCTTCTAATCTAGATTACTTATATAGTAAAGAGCTAGTTCACACTCCTGTTTCTTTTGAAGCAGATGATGATGACAGTTATGAACACCCCATCGATGGTCCATCCTATACTCAAGAGTCAAGTATTCTGAATAGAATTAAGCAATTTCTTGATGAAATCGGTTTCATGGGGTGCTGTGAATCAACATTATCATACGTCTCATAAAAAGAAAGAAGTAAATGCAACCTTCGGAATCAAATCAAGAGAATTTTCCTATATTTGCTTAAATTTCTAACACCAAATGACATTTCAGTAGTCTGGAATGATATCATAAGATATGAACTCAAAACTTTTACTTGTCAAGAGTAAGTGATTGACTATTAATATTGCTATTGAAAATGCAGAACATTCTTCGACAAAACAACAGTTATTAGCTGTTGTTGCTGTTGATTTTTCACCTTCTATTCTTCGTGCTCATTTTCCGACTATTACTGATTCACAAATAAACGCAGCACTAAAACATATCTATCGTTTTGGTGAGAAAGTACTATAAGTTTACAGAATGGTATGTTACTAATAATTGCAATTTCAATTCAGAAAAAAAAAGAATTTCTCGATATCAGCCACTGAAAACCAGAAACGTAGCATTTCATATGATCTTGTGAAATATGCTTCTTAAAAGTGTAAAACTCAAAGTAATATCACCGAGAAGTATTAGAATGAAACAAAAAAATATATCTTTAGAAAAAAAAAAGTTACTACCTCTTATATCATCAAATGGATGGTTTTGTTTCTCGAGTGGTATTTTTTCACACTTAAGTAAAAGAAACAATCATAAAAATGTAAAAAGAGTTCGAGTCTCACAATATATACTCGACTCAGTTCTCGCTGAAAAGATGTGTCTAATATCATGATATTTTATCGAGAATACTAGATGAGAGAGATTCTGATAAAAGGCCGATAGGAAAGATATTTATTTTAATGAAAATGCTGCGACCACTGAGTCATCTGAAAATAACTGAAGTTCTTTTAGTATTTCCTATACATTATGTAATTATTCGTGAAATTATTTCTCTTTCTATGTAGGTCGAGATGCGCCTGTAGATCTGGCATGTTCTACACTGTAAAAAAAACGTAGAATAAAAAACGAAGAAAGAATGCGTCTATTAGTAAAAAGTAGGTCGTTATGAGATAAAAACCATCAAATGACTGTTAAATATCAACAGAAAACACTCCTGATTTTTCTCCTGATTTAGGAAAAAAATTCTCCTGAAAAACATCACTGTGAAGCTAGCACGATGAAACAGATCTTCTCAGAAGTATTGTCGACCCATAAAAACCAGACCATTCGATGCAGAATTTAATTCTGGATCGGATGGTGATACTTTTATTCCCCGACAATACTTAGGAAGAAATTTTACCTACACCTTTGTTTTCTTCTAAATAGGACAAGAAAAACCAGATAGAATTTTCTCAAAGTATTGCTGGGGAATAAAAGTATCACCATCCGATCCAGAATTAAATTCTGCATCGAATGGTCTGGTTTTTATGGGCCGGCAATAGTTCTGAGAAGACTTATAGTTCAATCTCTGTTTCATCGTGCTAGCTCCGTCGTGCTAGCTTCACACTGATCTGAAAAACTCCTGATTTTTTACAGAAAATCCCTGATTTTCAAAATTGATTTTGGTAACTCTGGTAATGATTCTCTTTTCCAAAGAAATTTGATTTGTTCTAAAGAATGGTTTTTGTATGAGACGATAAAGGAACAGTCATACCCTCACCCTCACCTTTCAGTTAGACAACGTGTTATTCGATGATACGATCGAAAAACAACACAGTTATTGTTTCTGTCTTTTTATAGAAATATATTAGAAATGATAGGAAAAATGATATTTCTCTCCATGTAAAAAGTAACAACTATATTGTTGATTATGACTCAAGATCCTTGAGATCGAAACATTTACCGTAACATGGATAGTTTTTGTCATTATAGTGAAAATGTACTAGAATGAAAAACGAGTATTCAATATGAATTAACTAATTTTCTAAAATTTAAACTCACCATCGTCTTCATCCGTTAATGCACATACCCAGCAAAATGCTAGATTACATTGCGTACATTTCATAGCATTACATCCAGCGTATTTCTCAATAAGCGTATGACATTTTGGACAATGCTTGTATGGCAGATTGCCTAGATTATAATTTAGTAAAACAGCATCTTGTTCTTTCTGTTTCACTGCTTGATATTCTTTACATGTCATATTTGCATGATATTCTACTTGACACCCTATACAATACACCTTCATACACTGATCACAGAAATAAGTTGACGAATTTTCTGAGGGACGATACCCCTAGAATAAACATAAGATTTCTGAAGAAACTCTTCGAAAACTGATTGAATTTGATTTACCTGGTTACAATTGATGCCTACGCATTGGGCAAGATCGTTTTTCGGTTCTCGTATGTGAATTTTATAAGCTATTGTTGCAAGAAGAGCCATCTTGTCGAATCCGACTATAGACTGGATATCACGAATAAGACAGATTTTATTGCAATCGGATGATGGACAGCGCAGTTTGAACGTTTCAGAATTCATAGTTGTGTCAAAATGAGTCTCAAAATAATCGCTTAAACACGAATGGCAAAACTTGTGTCCACATTGTTGCAATGAATAAGGTTCATTGAAGTTGTCAGCACATATCAAGCATATATGCTCGATATCTGTTGCCATTATTGTCTTTGTAGCAGATTCCACTGACGTGAGCACAACTTTCCCAAGAATATTATTAACTTTTTGCTCGCATTCCGTCACTGCAGTACGATTTCCACGGACGGTGATTCGCTGTTTAATCATATTGATGCGGACTTTGGCTTTTTCATTACCTAATTCGTAGATCTCACTCGATCTCTCTAAACACTGACGAGCACAACCTGTAAAATTGAAAAAAGAAGTCATTGAGCAAGAATGAAAAAACCAATAATGATTCGTTTATTACAAACCTTCAGGAATTCTAATAGAAATAGAATATACACGTTTAGGAAGTGCTTTTTGAATGTAAATATCGATTTCTCGATAGACATTATTACGGTCATTCTCTTCGCCGAAAATAGTCAGTTGTGCCGATGACCAGTTCCACCAGATATAGGTATTAGTGCGATCCTGCAGGTTGATAAGGAATTTCTTACCAGCTGCGCTAAAAATTGCTGAGGCCTAAACGATAAGTAGCATGCATTACGTATTAACGGTGTTAACTCCACAAAATAAAATCACAATGGTTTCTATCTGTAGAAACCTTTCTGAAAATTCTCGTACAATAGTTCTCAGCACAATTTGCAATCTGAAACTAAATACAGAAATAAATTACGAACCCATGATGCACTGTGAAACTTGAATGATAAGCCCTTCATAAGTTTATCGAAAATGATACGTGCTTTTTGAATTTGTTCTAAATTTGTTCCTTTGATGGTAATAAGTTTAATCTCTTGATTATCTTCAGATGTGATCTCATCGACTAATCTTATATCAGATAATTGACGATCAGCTTGGATCGTCTGCATAGCTTTCTCGATTCGATGGGGTATGGCCTTTGCTAAATCCGTATTGAGTACAATAATATGATCAATGTTAGGCACAAAATGAATTTTGAATTGCTTGAATTTTAATGGATCAGAAGTATCTTTTTTGTACATGTTCATTGCCGTCATGACGTCACGAGGATCACTGAAGAGAATAGACGCAACGACACGACCATCCACAGTAGCTGGATGAATTTGAATATCTGGCACAGAATTAAACTTTTGGCGATCTGTGAAAAGAGATTTGAACTTCATTAGATCCATAATGTCTTCGTCAGCTGTCTCGCTGAATTTGTCTAATGGTCTATTTGATGGAAGGTTCTTGCGAAATACAATCACATTTGTCATAAAATTAGCTAGATGGTGCCGATTGAGCTCTTCAAGAAGAACTTCTTCATCAATATCAGGTGGCAATTCAAAAAGTTCGATTATGAACTCGTCTTTACCAGACTCTTTTATATTTTTCTTGTACTCTACTTTTGTCGGTCGTCCACAATAAATTGTATTTTTGAACACTGTGCAGGCCTTCTGTGCTGCTTGTTCTTGATCGAAATACACACAACTACGACCCTCGGACTCGGTCATAAACCATTGAGCTTTCAACTTGCAATTTTGTGTAGTTGTATAGACCGACGTACGTGCATAGCTGGGACTGACATTAATCTCCTGTCCATTCCATATTTCATGTGCTAATCTAGTAACAGCTTGTCGAGCATCGTCGCATGTAAAATAGGTAGCTGAAGCCGAATTGTCACCTGGACTGGTCTGAATCATGGTCACATGGCGAACTATAATGAATATAAAGTTCAAACATTTATTTCTATATCTCTCTAAAAAGACAACTGTTTAGTTATATTTTTAACAATTTTACCTAGGCCATGCAGCTGGCATTTACGTTCTATTTGCTCTTCCGTGAAACTGGTAGGCAAGTTGGTGAGCAAAACCTTAGTAAATTCGTCTCGGATCAACACCAACTGCGGTTCGGCACCAGCACCGAGTAAGATTCTAGTCGAACCAACGATTTCGTATTCTTGTACTTCGGTATGAAGTTTTTCACTTTCTCGATCGATTATTAGTTGAAGTTGACGTTTCGCGTCGATAAGTTTGTCCGGTTCACCCCAGATTGTGAGCACTGCTTGTTTATAATTAACTTCGAAAGTTATTCCCATGGATTTTTCAAGAGCTGGCAATTTCCAACGACCCTTGCCGACTATGGAAAGCAAGAGTGATAGACCAAGATTCTTGAAATCATAACTTTGAAGTGTACACAGCAGAGCTATTTGTGGTATAGATTTGAGCCACTGTTGATTCAACCATTTCGCATCAACTGGACATGCCACACACAAAAGAGTAGTGTTGCTCAAATTGAGTATTTCGAAATAGAGCACAAATTTAGTCGACTGTTGAGTATATGTGAGTGTTGACCATGGTTGCAGTTGTGCAGTCATAGGTGTAATATTGTTTATAAGTTGGTACGTACCACGATCAGCGCCTTTTGCAATGGCCAAGTGCTGAAAGAAACCGGCGCATATGCAACGTATGATGCGGTCAGTTAGATCATCATTCAATTCTTTAGAATTTATTTGAAATTGATGATGCAATTGAGATGAAGTTTCTCGAATAAAATCACTAGCGATTTTCAGAGATTTACCATTGATCATATATTGGTGACACCAGTTCCTTTTCAAGTCTGCATTATTACCTAAAGCATTCCATTCCAAGAAGATGCGCAAAAGTAAAAGATAATCACCGCCCACACCTGAAGTGGAGACGAACAGAGCTCGTTTTTCATTGCTTAGCTGTTTTAACCGTTCGTCTTTGCCACGCCACCAGATATTCTGTGCTACAGTCAGCATAGCCGCTAGTGCTATTGTATAACTGAGACAGTTATAGTCTTTTCCGGATAAAATCATGGCCGAAAGCATAGAATCAAGACCAAGTATCGCCATACCTTGACCCAAGTTAGTCAACTTGCCCGTTTGTGAATCGAGAGCACCGATCCAGGTCAAAGTGCTAACCGCATCTTGAAGACTTTTGGCCGATGGGGCTTCCAACCAGTCGAACTTTAAGAAGTCATCGACTACTTGCAGATATTTTAGTTTGAGCACCGCTACAGTTGGTTGAATGCAAAGAATTTCGGCTCGAGCATAAAGGTCCAATGATTCGTAAGTATCGCAAGTGTAAAGGTGATAACACTAAAGAGAAAAAGCAAGAGGTTTCAGTTGAATATGAATGAACCACGTAGGTGTATTAAAACCAACAATTACTCACCTTGCCCGGTGCAGTTCGTCCAGCTCTGCCGCGCCGTTGCTGGACCGAACTTTGTGTAGTATAACTGACTTTAAGTGCCTGGGTGTTTCGTTCTGAATCCCACACGACTTCTTTGACCATACCAGAATCGACAACATATCGGATGCCATCGATAGTTATAGAAGTCTCGGCACAATTGGTTGCAAAAATTATCTTGCGCTTTTTTGGATCTGTGGGTGTAAATACTACTTTTGTTTCTTGCTCATTCAGTTTTCCATATAAGGGTAAAACTAGAACGGAACCTGACCTATCTATTTTGCTTTTAACTGCTGTGATAGCACGGTCAATCTCGTCAGGACCAGTAAGAAAGACGAGAATATCTCCTGGATCTTGGCTTGCATGGATTTCAAGAACTTTATCTATGGCTGCGTCAACGTATTTCTCAGGATTTTCATCAACATATTCGTCTTCGACAGGAAATATTTGGTCAGAAACTTGAATTAAATTAGCACCACTGTAATATTTGCGCAACAAATTGCTATCCATGGTTGCAGACATGATGACCAACTATGAAACAGATACAGTTTAGAATAAATGTCGAGTAAAGGAAAACAAAAACAATATGAAGTCATACATTTACTATGGCGTGTAAACAAATCATAGTATCTATTATTGGATATGTGCTTTCGAATTGAATAAATTACCTTTAAATCTTTACGTTGACGCGCGCATAACTTCATTACACCGAAGATTATATCAGTGTTGAGACGTCGCTCATGTGCTTCATCGATAATTACTACGGAGTAATTGGATAACATTGGATCAGCATGATATTCGTTCAGTAGGACAGCCTCAGTGACGAAACGAATTTTTGTTTGTGGCGATGGGCAGCATGTACCAAAAATGTCGCAGCGTACCTAAAAGTAGGCAATATCTTAAAACAAGTTAATTACAATCTTGAAAACCATTAGCCACATCAGTGATAGAACCAGAAATTGCCAAGTTCGTTATCTTACCTCTTTACCCAGTTGACATCCGAATTCTTCCGCTACGAGAGAAGCTAATAGTCGTGCAGCCAAACGTCGAGGTTGAGTACAAATGATTTGTCCTATGCCAAATAAAAAACGCAACAATAAAAACGACAAATAATCGATCAAACAAACCTCGATCGGCCAACCCGGCATCGACCAAATATTGAACCAATTGAGTACTCTTGCCTGAACCAGTATTCCCTTTGAGAATTACTACTTGATTAGACATTATTGCATCAATTAACACGTCGCGTTGTGCATAGATAGGCAAACGATTTGAGAGCCGTTTTATTTCTCGCTCCAACCTGTTCAACAGTTGACTCATTGTCTCAGACGTCATCGAGTTGTCAAGAGAAAGAGTGAAGACAGTATTTTCAAATGTTTCCAACTGATCCTCCAATTGTTGAATGTAACCTTGTTTTATAGCTGGCATGCCATTGTCTTCTTCGAGACTCAATAACGGCGATTTTTGCTCAAATTTGAGTAATTGATGCTGATGCATAACTTCAAAAACATCCTTCTAAAAATTGAAAAAACCTGACAAGAACAAATACGATGAATAAAATGAAATTACGCTGAATCAGTAGATTCAGATATCTGTAAGGAACTTTCGTGTACCTGTTGTAAGGACTTAAATTTTTCCACGATATCTTCCTTGGATAGCAGTGGCACGGTCAAACTATTGGCAGATTGAGTACGAGGTAAAACTTTTGGTCTAGAATTTGAGCGATGACGCATATTGTGTTTTCTTAAATTTTGTTTTTCTTCCGTATAGCACTCATTCACCTGTGAGTCGTCTTGAGATAATGCACTTTTACTAGGAAATTGTTTAGGGAATTGACTCGGAGTATTAATGCTACCACGTCCTCGACATGGTGGCAAGCTGGGAGAAACAGTACGTTGTTGATTATTGGGTGGCAGCTGATGATGCCCATCCCCACGTGTAAAAGTTCTACGCCCTTTGGGTCGTAAAATGAAGGGCGAACCAACGCGCTTTGACTCGGAGCGATTAGTCAGTGTAGGCTGAGCTGTGGCGTTATCGCTCTCTGGTGTTTGGTTTGTTTGGCTAGCCATGATAGCACTGTCGAACGTGAAATGAGAGTGCAGTTATGCTAAAATATCACCATCATTAATAAATATTCTATAATTTCCATAGAGATAGAAAAAAAAAAGAAAAACCTCCTTCTAACGTGAGTGGGTAAAAAAAGATCTTCCTTTTTCTACTTGTATTCTTATTAGAGAAAAAATCAACAGTACTGCTCTTTCTACTTGTAATACGCGTGCCTAGTCAAAATCAACACTACGATAAAATATTCTTTTTTTCGTCTCAGCCAGAGACGAACACAGGACAGGACGTCCTGTTATCCTGCAAACGGTTTTGTTTTATTGTTATTTGTATTATTCTTTTGAAGGAGTTGCATCTCTCACATGTTACTTTCTATGACTCAAGGTATATTGTGAGCGATAATTGTCTTTATCAGAATGATTTATCATATTTATTCAAGGATTCGTTGAGGACAAATGCTACTAATCGTTTGGTGTCATTGATAATTCTGAAGTTTTTGATTAAAATCAGAGATGTGTACAGGACAAGACAGGACAGGACGAAAAATCATGTCCTGTGCATATCTCTGGCCTCAACGCAAAAGAAAATTGAATGACGAGTGTAAATTTTGGTAAATTCCAGCTTCGCCGAATCTTTTTTTCGCCGACGATTATTTTCGCCGACTCCAACATCGCCGAATATAATTTTCGCCGACTCCAACTTCGCCGAATAAAAATCTTGACCGAAAAATATCGAATCAAATTTGATCCATTCTAGATATAGAATTTTATCCTAACTAACTACTTTAATAGTGACTTGATTAATTAACGCCATCTGACTTGGTAACCATCTGAGTTGGTAACCAACTGACTTGGTAACCAAGTCAATTATATCTGTTGCCTAGTTTAAACAGGTGCCAACAGGTGTAGATGTGAGTGTGGGTGTGGGTGTATGCCTGAGTGTGTGCGTGGGTTATCAACTCAGATGGCTACCAAGTCAGTTGACTAGGGTGTGGGTGTGGGTGTGTGCGTGAGTTATCAACACAGATGGTTACCAACTCAGTTGGTTGCCAACTCAGATGAGGTTAATTAACCAAGTCACTATTAAGGTAGTTAGCTAGGATAAAATTCTATATCTAGAATGGATCAAATTTGATTCGATATTTTTCGGTCAAGATTTTTATTCGGCGAAGTTGGAGTCAGCGAAAAAAAGATTCGGCGAAGCTGTACTAATTCTAAATTTTAAAATAGTTGAAGTAAAATCTATGTCGCTTTTTATTTACCAATTACGTCGCAGTTTAATCATAAGAAAATCTAATTAGCGTAGTACTCAAGTACTTGTCTTACATATACGGATATTCTGATTTGAGAAAGTGCTTAAAAAATGAGAAATTTTATGCAAAAATCTAGTTCAAAGATAAAAGCATAAAACGCATGATAATATGGTGTTATTTCCAGACGTATAGATAATTTTTACTAAAGATAAGGGTAAGAAAATAATGAGTATAAGACTGCTACGAAGAACATTACTTGATTTTTGTTAAAAATCAAGTAATGTTCTTCGTAGCAGTCTTATACTCATTATTTTCTTATCTACATTTTGCTGCTCTTCAACCACAATAAAGATAAGGGTTTTCAAATATCGAACGTTTTGTGAGTTTCAACCTCTGAATACTAAAATAGATACTTACATATAATTATCTGAAGTCAGTGATCGATGTAAAATAGTCAACTATATAGATTGATTCAGCGCTCATCGAGTTTATTTGTTCTTTTAAAAATTCAGGAGAAATGAAAAATTATTTTCTAAAATTACTACGAACAAAACTAAGCAGGAGAAAAACAAATGCATCAGAGTTGTTTCTACCATCATCCCCAGTGTGCGAAAGAATTTTTTTTCTTTTCATTCCTGTACTTAGTAAGAAGCATGAAATAAAATGAGATTAGACGGCATGCGCCTAGGGGTGTCAGAGTTCCTCGTTCCTAGCGTTCCGTTCCTAGGAACGGGAACGAGAAATGCGCTCTCACACTTAAGAATGGAAAATCCCAATTGAATTTCCTATCGAAAGGAATAGGAATCTACAGATGCGTTGATATTCTCAGGAACGGAACGCGAACGCGACATCCCTACATGCGCCATGATGTATTTCACCGAATCGGCGGAATAGGCAGAAAAGAAAAATGCCGACAAGGAAAATGTCGAAAAAAAAAAGGAGAATGCCGAAACTGGTAATTGCAGAAGGTGAAAACGTTGAAAAGGATAACGTCGAAAGGAAAATGTCGAAATGAAAAAGTATAATTAATAAAAATGTCGAAGAAAAACTGCTGCAGGAAAAAGTAGAAAAATTTTGAACAGGAAAACGTAGAATGAAAAAGATATCTATAGATAACGAAATTATTTTTTTCAGCTGCTATTGGTTGTTAGTGGGATAAGTTAAAGTCGTTGTCCTCCTCATCTATACTCTATACTTATTCATTGTTAGCGTATACCATAGCATATATATAAATCAGTCTGGCGAAAACAACTAACAAATAATTTTCTCTTCAATCATTGACAATGGGCAATGAAATATCATTCTGAACGACTAATAAAGATAAACCATTACCATTGTTTAACCAATATATGTTCAAATGCAAAAAAACATCCTCATCAAAAAAGTATTGGACTTGCACTGAACATGAATGTAACGTATATGCGCACACCAATTAAGAAAATATATTTTTCTTTTTCTTTAAAATTATCAAAAAACTCAATTTTTGACACTTTACCCTTTTGACGTTTTCCCTTTCTGCCTTTTCCACCAAATCCTATTTCACAATACATTTGCAAGAATTTCTCAATGCTAAAGCTATTCCTTTTCTTGCCAGCTTGTAGTTGGTATTCCAATTAACCAGAACGTTCATCAGACGACAGTTCCTGTTAGAAAATTTTCTAATGTTTGCATAGTTTTTCTTCAAAATATCTATGATACAAACAGGGTTGCCACCTCATCATGTCAGAAAAGCGGAAAGTTTGATCAAAAATAACGGAAACAAAAATAGAAAAAACGGAAAGCTGCTTTTTGCTGACCTTTCGCATTTCCAAGAGTTTAAGTAACCTTGTTTTATTGCTCATAGCACTACTTTGTTCGCAGTTTCACAACATAATAGACAAATCATAAAAATATCAGGGCGTACCTGGCCTGAAACTTCAAGAAGAAAAGATAAACGATTTCCGGTCCAAAAATAAATATCTTTTCTCTGTCAATTCTTTTTCTACTCATCTTTTCTAAAAGTGCCATACAGGGAAAATGTTTGTATCGTCCCAAAAAATGTTCGTTTTGTGATAGTGAAATGGCCGTATTGCGACTGTCAGTTCACTATTTTTCGCAGAGAATATACCACCGAAGGTGGCTCTTTTTTGGCACAGCACTTTAAAAGTTTATGCGAAAAGATGCAATCGAAAAAACTGAAACTCATTTTTCAGAGTAATAGAACAAAAAATATATATTCCTTTCCACATATAGCCACCGAATGCGACTCCTTTTTGGCACAAATTAAAACATTGACCCGAAAAACGTACAATCCAAAAAATAAAGCTCGCTTTTTACAAGTCTAAGAGGATAATGTTGTTCTTTACATTCAGCTGTCGAATGTGGCTATGCTTTCATCTATTATATTAACAAATGAATAAGAACTTGAAAGAAATTTTCTTTTCTTCACTGGCATTTCAAATCCAGGTGAATGTATTTCATAGTGGACGCCAAAATGAACATGAAATGTGTTTCACTAGAAAAATTTATTGGAAAATCTATCATGTGAAGCAAAAATTTTTCAAGAATTGTATAGAATTATACGTTAGAAAATTATTCTCCAAGAAATTTTCGTCTAACATCACGTTATCTAGTTTCTTGCATGGTTAAGTTTTCAATTAAACAACGAAAGTCTTTTATATGAAAAAGCGGAAAAAATCGGAAGAGGTGGCAACCCTGGATACAAAAGTTTATTTTTCGATATAAACCTTGCCACAATGGCTCTGATGAGATGCTTTACCTTGAAAAATCAGTGCAATCCATGTATTCTATTGAAAATCTACTTCAAAGCAAAGCATGTGAAAAATAATTCATTTACCGAGAAAATTTTAAAATTCCATCATTCCTTCGTCTCTTTTATTTGTATTGATTTTTTTTCTTCACACACTACAACACCTATACACTTATACAATTGGTTTATCCTTTTCTCGTTGTAGACAGTTACAATAGAGACAAAAAAATAAGCCAATGAGGAATAGAACCAAAACCATGCGTTCAAGAAAAATAAGAATAATCCATCGCTTATCTGTTTTTAGCGATGCCTTTGTGGACACTGTGAACGATGAATTAAATGGACTTTGCACCAACGAATTGCTGACAATCGTGAAACCAAATAAAATCAGCTTTTGATCAGCTGGTACTTTGTCAATAGCCATTATCGCTTGTGTTCCAGGCAATAATGCATTTTTACTTATGTCGACTACAGTGTAACTGACCTTATATCTTCTTGGATTATCCGTATGAGAAGAAATCTAAATCAATGTAGAACATACATGTGGCATACAAATTATGATAAATATTCTTTTTGTTTATTTACCAATACTATAGGTGAAATTTTAGTAATATTATAATCAAAAGCCGTATGTCGTTTACGCTGCGATGATAACGAACATTGTGCTTTGGATACATCATTTAGACACTGAAAACCTAAATTAATAATAGCAGATAATTTTTGACCAATATCTGCTACAGTAGCGGCATCATCTGGATCGAAAATCATATCATTAAACACGTTGAATACTACAATTAAAAGTGAAAAATGATTCGAGGAGTATATTAACATATGACTACTATAGACCTGTAAATAATTTGTATGCTGGTAGAACTGCTGTTATCATTGACGTAGTAGTTGATGTTTCTGAAGCAACAAGAGACAGGATCATTATACTAATGCTACTGATTAAATCCGAATTCTCCACAGATACTGTTCTTTTCCAAAACTTACCTTGTATCAATTCCAAATCAGTACCATAGAGGATGAAAAGCTTGATATCATCACACCAGGAGTTTGCTTTACTGCTATTATTAGCAAGGGCTTCAAACTTGATAACTATTTCAAGTTGGTGTATATCTCTATTCAAAGTCGAGCTGACAAATCGTTGAGTTGAATCTGTTTATACATAAGATATATCATTGTCTATGTCAATGAATTGAAACATACTTAACTTTTGTTGAGAATGAGTATGTCCGATTCCATCGATTCCTCTCAATTGAATAAATACATTACTACCCATATTCGCACTCAGCACAGCTTGAGAATGTGGCCAAGTATTTGGATCCCACTTATTGGATAAATTGACACGTTGCATCATAGTAGCACCCGTAGCAAATGTTTGTAACATGAATTGACAATTAGTATCATTTATGCTAGACATTGCTGTAATGACATTACCAGTTAGTAGTGCCCAATTATCTACAGGAGAAATTTTGCAGTCAGCATGACCACTATTGATCAAATTCCTATCTTGAGCTCGTGTTCCATTGGGTAGTATAGCGTCCTGAATAGACAGAGTACTTTGTAGTTGCATATCTGTAATACGAGCGTATTGAAACTGAGCACTGTATAGATTGGCATCAGCGAAAATAGCGTTGGTTAGGTCAGCTGAGTGAAAAGAAGCATGTTTAAGATTCGAGCGCCAAAAATTAGAATACGATAGCATAGAACGATCGAAACGAGCAGCAATACAGGATGCTTTTTGAAAATCCGCGTAAAGTGCTTTAGTAACAGAAAGGTCAGTTGAAACTACAGAATAATAAAAAAAGATAGATTGCATAAAAAAATCTGTAATGAATATTACCTAAGATAGCAGATGAAAAGTTAACATTTTCGAGTACAGCGAACGAAAATTTTACATTAATTAATTTCGAATATGAAAAATCGACATTGGAAAGCAACGAGAATGAAAAATCGATATTCTCAAGTGTAGCGAACGAAAAATTCGCTTGTTCGATTTTGGTCGATTTTAAGTTGGAGTCAGTTAGAATAACAAATGAAAAATCAGCATTGATGAAAGAGCTGAGTGAAAAAATGACGCCATTGAGTCGTGCATATGAAAAATTAGCATTATCGAATTTCACTAAAGACATATTGACATACTTAAGACTACTTCCTGAAAAATCTACTTTATCAAACTCAGTTCTAGTAAAGTTAATGAATTTCATATCCATGTTTATAAAACTGGCATTCGATAGAAAAACGCCCATCAAAAACAATTTATGTAGTTGCTTTTCATTTGTTGCCACATGATGAAAATCTATATCACAAAGTTTTGCTGTTGAAAGATCTAGTGCGGAATGTTCTTGTGTTTCAGTAAGTTGTTTAGCATCATGAAGAACTCTGATAATACGAACATTGCGTTGGGCATCTAATTGACGAAAGATATTCAGAGTTTTGATTCGAACAATAGTAGCTGTAACTTCATTGAGTGTCAGTGAGCCATTGCTTTCTTTCAATAGAGCAGTCACATCGTTAATATACGTATCGAGAAGTTCATTTTGATATTTCTGATCATTGAAAAATTTGTCTTGTTCACGTTGCAGTGCAGATATTTTTCGATCTTCTTCACGTTGTTGTTTAAGTAGCTGCTGCAGCTGAAGAGTGATAACAAGAGCGAAGACACCTAATATGATGGGTAGTAGGAGATGGGAGATAAACTTCAGAATATCTTTTCTAAAACTGAGTATTTGATGAGAAATCATTCGTTCGTTTTTCCTTGATTAGTTTAGCTAAAGACGCAAATCATTATTAACTATAATATATTCGAGATTTGATGCATCCAACTTACCTCAATCATTTATTAAATACAACACATGCCATATAATATGTCTACTTTTATAGGTGCAGAAAAATCTAGGCATCCGATATCTGCAGCGTAATCATTTAAAATAAGAAGCATAAGTTTATTAGCTCTTTGTATGTGCCAACACAAGTGTACAAAATCATAGAGAAAATTGAATATCTGATATCTGATATATTCAAAAAGTTCTCAGTAATGTGATCCCAGCAACAAATATTTGGATCCTAGGTGAAAAAAAAACAAATAAACGAAACCAAAGATGACCCGGCGGTTGAGCCCCCGACACATGAGCTTCCAACATTTGAGCCTGGTATAAAAAAAAACTACAGATCACAAGAACATAACTTTATTTTAATAAATTTAACATCTACATCAAAAGTGTAAAAGAGCTCTTTCTCGTTTAAAGTACATGTCGCTGGTTATTAGGGTGTGTGAGTATGGGTGAGAATTCATCCTATTCCGCAATGTTGAACATTCCGGAGTCAATTACATCTAATTCCCGCAATTCCGTTTATCCTTTCCGACTCAATTCCGGAATAACACGGAATTCCAAGGGATTCCGTCTAATTCCAATCGATTTCGGAATTCAGTGCACCCACACTGACATCCACAACAGAAAATGCGATGAGTCTTCATCTCTACATGCCACCTCTTCGTCAATGTCATCCTTACAACGAGAACACGAGGGAAGAAGGCACAGTTACAATGGCTTTCAATTCCATCAATGGACAATTAACATCGAAATGATCAATGCTCATTCTTAATCGACTTTTCACAACTTTTCGTATCAGATAATTAAGATTTTATGAGATTAATTTTGATATGTGATCATTTTTTACAAGAATTTCGAAAACTTTCATCATCGCTATATTGTCGACTTTTTCAAAATTCAAAATAAGGCACGTTTTTCGGTGATAGTTATTAGAATGTAAGTGTTAAAAGGAAGACCCCGCTCTTTACGATTGCATTAAAAAGCAAATATTTAATAAGCTAAATGCAGATGTTAGAAATAGAGTAGAATTTTACGAAATATATTCACGTAACCTATTTTTGCATCAGTGTAGTGAGTTTAAAGCATATATGCAAGTTTCACAAAAGTATTGAAAATTTCAAAAAACAAATTAATTCTCATCCGTCATTATTAATAATAACAAAACCTCCGTATTGATGGCTTAATTATACAGACGATTTTAATTTGATTCCAATATATAACTATTGCCAATTCAGAAACTATTCCTCGATAAATCCTGGTTTCAGATAAAAATAAGGAACGAAAAATTGATTCTACTAGTATTGAATCTTTTACATCATCTGTTCATGGAAGGAAGCATTCGATTTAGAAAGTACGTACAAAATATCAAACCTTTTGAAAATAGTTTTTTTCCTCGTGACTGAAACTATATCAGCGAAAAAGACTTTAAGTCTGGTACAAGAGCATTTGCGATGGTATCGGTTAGATAAATCATATTTTATGTGAATACGAGTATTTGTCATCGTCTTAAACATATATGCAGACGAATTCACTTTTAGTTGATTAGGAATCTTCTTCGATTTATTTTAAAACAAAAATGAAAAATTATTCTGAAATTGTGGACGTAACATATTTTCATCTATATGTTGTATTCGCAAATCTGTTTGAATATCACATTTGAAAATCTAAATATTTCGATTTACTGTAAGGTAAAAAGTCGACCGTTTATGTTATTGATTTTGTTTTCGCCAAACAGTTTATCGTAAATAAATATTGAGGATTCTGAAGATATTCTATTGCCTTGATGATATATTTTATGTAATTATTCAATCGAGAGAAATTTATTTGTCAAACGACTGATTAATTGAAAGTAAGTCAAGCGAGGTAACTTCGTTACTTAACAGCTACATATCTGCGACAAGATTAATTCTATCTACCAGTGGGAAAACGTTTCTACTACGTCGGTCGATGATTTTAATCTTTATTCATAAAAAAATTTATTCTCTTTATTTCAAGGCATAAATAAAAATGGAAGGTCATATTCGGATTTTATTTTTCTCATCTTTAAAAGTACATATGATTAATTCAAAATAAAAAAAAGCTCCGATTGATTTCATTTGATTAATTGCAGAAAATATTTTCTCATTTATAGTCATTAAATCTACTTTAAAAAAGAAAAAGAAAAAGCTCGATTAGTATTATTGATACACATAAATAAATTGATATGAAATTTGAAACTAAAAATAAACCATTAACCTATATTTAATTGGTATTAATCCATCATCCTCTCCTGTTGACAAACGTATGATGATTCTCAAAAATGTTGTGTAACTCGATCATTTACTTTCTACATTAATTGCACAGCAAAAAAAATTCGTATCATCATTTATTTAATAAGCTTTGCCCATGAAAAGTGAGTAGCGAGCCTGAGTATCATCAGTTAATCGATATACACATGTATATGTTATACACGCAATAAATAGGTGAGGCGTTGATACGCATTCTCATGCATTTACATATTCGAAATGAAGTAAAGTGACAGTTGTAATGTGTCTACTCGTTTATCAAGATACTAGCCGAGGTTTGCAACTAAGTTTATCATTAGAAGAAAAATGGAATAATTCAAAAAAATAATAATTATATGATAGAGAAAGCGAAAAAAAAAGCAAAAGTGCATCTATCGTTTATTTTTCATATATATATATTTATATATATTTAATTACTATTTAATGATAAAATCACATTAGTGTATAATAGACGGTTGATTTAATTACTAACTTTTAATATTTCTCTACCTATTCGAAAAGAAGAAAGATTGATCTTAAATTCATCTTAGTGAAAATTAATCTGCTATGATGTATTATATATTAAACGACTGTATCACATAATGTGGTTGCTAGTTGATTTAGCATTACGTACGATCACATTAGGACGATGAAAAGAAACGTATTACTTTTCTTTTTCTTCCGTCTACGACCAATCATGTGTAAAAAAAAAGCGAACCCATTTTATTCTTCACTATCGTTATCGTCATTTTCATTGGTGTTATAGACACTCAAGCATATTTATTTGTATTTGTATTCAGTAGAAAAAACAAATCGTAAATCTAATAATTATATCGCGACAATTATCCCTTAGAAGAAAAAAATTACCAGTAACTATTATAAAATGGCTACAAAAACTGCGAAAGATTTTAGCGTAGCGTTTCTTTTACGAGATAATAATAACTATTATGATATTAATTATTTATCTGAATCTCTATCATCGAATAATTCAAATGGAATTTTAACGATAAATCCTGCTCAACGTAATCAACCAGGTATGCTTGAATTTTCTTCAAAGAAAGTTTCTCATGCAAAAAAATTTTAGATCCACTCGACACAAAAATTTGTTCATTGAGAAAACATAAAAATGGCCGAAAACCACGAACACCATTTACTACAGCGCAATTGCTTGCATTAGAACGAAAATTTAATGATCGACATTATTTATCGATATCGGAACGTGCTGAATTTTCTCTCTCACTTAATCTAACCGAAGCACAAGTTAAAGTAGGTAGTTTTCTCTGTAAATTTTCCAAGTAAAATTTTAATTTTTTTCTAGATTTGGTTTCAAAATCGTCGAGCAAAAGAAAAACGTTTATGCGAAGCTGAACTAGACAAATATCGTTTTATGCAATTGAAAGATCAATTAAATCAACACTACGCAATGACACCAGCATATTTTCCATTTTCATGAACATGAAAAATTTCCATACATCTTTTTTTGTAATGCTAGTCTTCATTTTTCGTTATACATATATATACATATGCATTTATGCGTCTTCGTAATGACGATTAAAAATTCTCATTCGTCGTTAATAGTCGATTAGCCTTATCGACCGAATAGCAATTGACTCTTTGTGTCACGTATTAACCATTCCATATATACAACTAATGAGACCGTTAATATCGTCTTGTAGTGAAACGAGAATACCAGATTCCGGAATTGATTTTCGAAGAATTACAATTTCTTTAGTAGCATAACTAAAACTGGCCGTTTCGAACTTAGCCTAGCCGTAACTATCAACTTTTTAATACTTAAATAGCTACTCCTAATATATCTATCGATCTCTCATTTTCTCAATGTTCATGTTATATACTACTCAAGGTATACAATTTGATGTATATCGTTAATTGTCTCTATCTTCCTCTCATTTATCACATATCGCCTTCGAAAACAAACGATGAAGATAACCCCATTAATTTTTCTCAATTATCAATATCATGTACACATTGATGTCACGCATATAGAGCTGCTCAATCGATGAAGGACGAACGAAGAGAAGAAGAAAAAAAACGAAACGCGAGTCAATTGAAAGTTTGTTTGCATGATTAAAATGTCAAAAAGTTTCATCGATTTGAGTGAATAAATTTTCAATTGTCTGTCATCAACTTTGAAGAAGAAAAAAGAAAACGAAAAAAATTTGCATATGAAATTCTCTGATTATTTTTTTTTTATTAATGAACCACGTTACGCTCTTGTCCATAAAATGTCGACAATCGATTATTAAAAGATGTGACAAAACAATGATTATTTAATTGCAAGAATGTGATATGTATGAGAGAAGAAAGCAGGTGAACCATTCCATTTTTGACAATCGAATAAAAAATCTGTTCCGATTCATTGAATAACATGGCGAGAGAGAGAGAGATGAATATTTATATGAAATGAAATTTTGATCAGTGAGCACACAACAACCGTTCGACACTTGACTGGCGACGAGCCTCAATGCACATCATAATAGTCATTCAGCTTAATGATATGTGAATGATGTCGAGAGAATGTGCGAAAAGATTTTCATGAGAACGAATAAATATTTCATCTGACTTGTTTATTACAGAAAAATCTGTATATCTTAAAAGAAGCCGATAGTTGCAATTTTTTTTTGAAGGCATCTGGATACTGATCTAAACCGTTTTCATCAAACGATTCACTGCCATTACAATGAAAGATCATTAAATCGATGAGTTTCGTTCTTCTCGAAGATCAGTCTATGTTACATCATGAAGAAATCCAATCACGAATAAAAAAAAAGGCTCATGCATACACACATACGTCAGATGCATATTATCATTCTCGTTGCGCTTGTCAATCGTGTATACAGTGATAGATGCTTTCTTCACCTATCATCTAATTGCCCCCTAGAGTCTTGCTATTAGAGTTAAGCAGCTCGTCAAGAAAGAGAAAAAAAAACAACCTCAAATCAAACGTGAATTTGTCATTTTCCTCGCGTTGAACGTCTCCAACTGACCGAAAGTGAGAGGCGGTTACCTGTCGAGATTAAATTATTGGGATTTGTTGTATTCGCGATTAATGATAGTTTTATTTTGATTGATCCTTTCGATTTTTGCATACTTATTATCATTGAATAAAGATGCACACAGTGATATTTTTCTTGGAATAAAAAAAAAAAAGAAGAAGAAGAAGCAATTTCCGTTTTGCGGGATAAGCTTCGATTTCCTTTTTCTCATCGTCAATTGAAGAGCGAGAGAGAAGTAACACTTTCATATTTTTAGTCCAATAGACGATTTTCTTCCATTGAGTTCATTACTCCAACCAATCAGATTTTTCTTCTTTTTCTCTCTTCTAGACGAAAGAAGAAAAAAGGTAAATTTGACTTCACAAATTAGAATTAAATCTAACGATCATGGAGTTACCATTGAAATTATCGAAACGAAACACTGATTTCAGCATACGTTCATTAATCAACTGTTCACAGAATGATATTCACCATACAGCAAGTCCATCGAAATCAACCAGTAATGAAAGTCTTCAATATTCACCATCATCCTCGTCAACAACATGTACGGGTGGCAGCAGCAGCAATATAACTCGATTGTCGTGGCCACAAAATAATACACAACTACATTGGTTACCCGACGCTGACATTATTGATAAAGCACGTAAGTAGAAAGAAAAAAAACCTGAATCATTGAGTAAACAGTGAAACGGATTTTTATCAGCGTTCTTTTGATCGTTTAGGTAATAATGAATTACCAAGAATCAATGCAAAAGCCTGTTCATTGCGTAAACATAAACAAAATCGAAAGCCACGTACACCGTTTACGACATCACAGCTACTGGCATTGGAAAAAAAATTTCGTGATAAACAATATTTAACTATTTCCGAACGAGCCGAATTTTCAGCATCATTAAATCTTACTGAAACACAAGTTAAAGTATGTAGTTTAAATTAGTTTTCATAGAGAAAAAAAAATCTTTTTTTCGGTTTATTTAGATTTGGTTTCAAAATCGTCGAGCGAAAGAAAAACGTATTTCGGAAGCCGATGCAGAAAAATATCGTTTTCTACAAATGAAACATCCATTAGCGATTGCCGCTGCTAATGTTTTCCATAATCATCATCAACAACATCATCATCACTCATTGTACAATTTTCTTTCTCCTGTAACTACAACGTGTTCATCATAAATGAAATTCTCTCTCTCAATCTGTTTCATATTTACAGTTTTGTTTTGTTTTCCAATAATAATAATAATAATAATAATAATAATAATAAGAGAACTTATATTGTCATTTCTCTGTATCATTTAATGATCCTTGATATGTTGTACGTAATTTATGCTGTCGATCTTATTTTGTGTGAAATGTAAACGATCTAGAAACAACATTTTAATGACGAATTGAAAAAGTCTAACTCTAACAACAGACACGTCTCATTTATGTTTACATTCAATAGTATAGCTATTGGCTCTAATCGCCATTAATAGATCGAATTTCAACCGAATAATAATCATTTAAGGGCCCTAAAGGTCAACATATATATGTATGTATGAAAAACAAAAATGAGATCTATGTCGATGAGAAATGTACATTGTTTCGATGAGTATCTATTTGATTCAATGAACTTCAAAGACATTGAATCAATTATCTATCTCCTCCTTTCTAATTTAATGATGATGAGCATACACATCCTTAACCGAAAAAGAAAAGAAAAGAAAAGAAAAACAATTATTCGGTATCAAAAGTACGATCTTTCTCAATGATAGAAAACAATATATGCAGATAAAATCAATGAAAGATGAAACAACATTGTCATAACGTATTATTTGGTTAATAAGAAATGCTTCGACATATAATTACTTCAAATAGAATTGACAAAAAAACAACAACTTTTCAATATCACAATATTCATTCAATCGATTTAGGAGGTATAGAGTAAAATCAATCGATGTTCACTTTTCTTTCGCTATTCAATGGGCACGTCAATGAATAAATTTTAGTTTCAGAAAAATATATAAACAATTCAAATTAATTCTACGGGTGAAAAATGGCCGACTGTTATTTCATTAATATCATCTTCGTGAATTATCTTTTAGGAGTAGGTTGAAATTCGGTAAAGAATAATCGCTTGAGGTATTAACGAGATGCAAATCAGTCATTTATTATCGACGTCGACTCGGATCAACTGTAAAAGTGGGGTCATCATTTTCAATCAAGTTTATAAATCGAACGAGCTTAATGCAACTGTGTTTGTCGGTTTTGCATAGTTGCAAGACGAATCGATTGCGAAGGGACTACCGTGTTACGATGTATAATAGTAACTAATGTCGTATGCCATTTTTTCACCCAAAATTCACTCGGTAAAGAAATAATAGTAATGAACGGTAAGAGGAAAATGCAAAAGTCAGTAAGGAAAATCAGATAGTTATAGATTTCTGGATTTATATCTGGCGGAAGTAAGTCAGCAAATTGTAATATAGCATAGATTAGAAAAGGTAAATTAAAAATAATAAAAACAATCGATAGAGATAACATTTGTATTGTCAACTTCCAATATTTCTGCCATTGAATCGATTGATGAAGGCGAATGTGCCGATTCCATATAGCCCGAATAAGAAGAGTCATGCTGCATGCAGCAATAACTAAATTGGGTAGAATTCCATCGTCACATGAAGGTATGAAAACAACTGCATTATAGAAGATACAAGGATAGAGAATACAAAATATCAATGGAAGGTAATGAAACAACTACGTTTCATGGAAAATGAGAGAATGTGCCTTTCAAACGATGCCCAAGCAAGTAAAATGTTGGTTGTTGCATTCATAGCAATGTTGGCAAACCACCAAACAACACACATGCCTGGTGTTTGAGGTCAGACTATGCCCAAACGAGTATAAATGATAGAGGATGGAACATTGATTCGATGGGCGCCAAGTGAGGAAAATATAATGGTGATGATTGTGTGACTATTCATTGCGTGACGAAGAATCCGTTTAGTGAGAAATTGATAAAGAAGAAAGAATGAACAAAGAGAGGATGGAATATCCAAACGAAGATAGAACCAGGACATAATTGAAGTAGATAATGACATTTGATAACCACCTGTATTATTCGAATCCATGGTTTCGATTCGACCAGAAAGTGCGATGAATTATTTGAATTTTCGTTTTTGAAAAATATTTAAAAAATACTTGCGACTGAAAATGTTTTTCAGAAGAATGGATCAATGGTTGAAGAGTGTCAAAATGACTGCTGAGGAAATAATGAAATATGAAAAGAAAATCAAGACACGATTCTATTGATAATTTCTACTTCAAAAAAAAATAGAAATTGTCACTCTTGCGCGCAGTTATGTCAGTGTTTTGCCTCATTCGTAATTGAAAATTAAAAGTAATTCACCGATTCACAATGTTGTGCGCATAATTAAAAGAATCTTATACCATTCATAACTTCCGACTGTCATGTTACGCTGAAGTAAAAATTTGCTCCATGTATTCCAGCATTTCAAGTGATAATGTTGAAATTTCTATCGTTCCCTACAATTGAAACAAATCGACCAAGACAGTAATGTTAGTCTTCAAAACTCAGTTCAAAAATATCATAGCTGAGGATGTGAGTACGAATAAAGAAAAGAACATCATACCCGCACTCTAGGTACTATTTTATCGCAACTTTGAATGAGCTCGTAAGCATTATGTCTCTGTCAACTGTGAAACTGTAGATTTGCGCTTCGAATGGGAATTTCTAAATATCATGTACGAAAGAATGATGCTTAACAACAGCTGATAATTTCTTAACTACTCCATTACGTTCGTAAGATTAACCGTCTCAAGGTTACATGAATCGTTCAGATATAAATTAGAATAATTTTTATTATTTCACTACATTGTTTGCCGTACTAATCTAAGCAAGAAAACATATTCCTATCAATCACTTGGGAAGAATTTTATATGATATTTAATTTAATCAAATTGTTCTCGGATATCACCCAGTTCGATTTCGTTGATGGCAAGTTTACTCATTGATTTCAGATCTAAATGCTTTCGTTTATTGGTATAGACTATTGAAAATAATAGTAGTCTATTTAAGCCCGAAGAGCACAACTCTATGATATCTACCAGAGTGCATTTTTTAAATAATTTTTATTTGAATAGTTAGTAGACTTTTTTAAGTCTTTATATAAAACTTGTCTTGATTATGTTGCAGTCGAAGTGGGGTTGGTAGCATTATGCAGTCTCTTAACTGCTGCTTCTTGCGCATCCTTCACGTTTTTCTCCAATAATCGGTCAAAGAATTCCAATTCAAACTCTTTTGGCAAAGGATCTACCGCTCCCATCCATAGTGCATAGTCTGTATGATCCACCTTCTCCAACTGAACTTCTCCAAATGGCATTGCCACATTCGGATGAACCAAAATCTTTAAACCATTCCTATTTAACATTAACCACGATAATGCCACACCAAACTGCCTCACTGCCTTTTCATTTCCTCCGTCTTGTATGACATCCCTGGCCGGATTGATTCCCATGAGTTGCACTGTCCACATAGGGCCTTTGTGAGGACCACCTTCAAAGTCGGGAGGAGTGTCGTAGAGGAAGGAGAATGTAGGGCGTACGTCATGGAGATTGAGATACGAAAGAAAGGCTTTATAAACGGACGTGGCGATCGCGTGTTGCTCCATGGTGAAGTAGACGTGAATGTCGTAGCCACCCTTGAGAGCTGTCAAAGGATCCTGGAAGGTGATCGAGTCTGAAACGGTAGCCGTCATGATCGGTTGCACAATACGACTGGAGGAAGACTCGCCAATCAACACTGATAATGATAAAGTAGTATCTGTAGGAGAAAAAAAAACAAGAAAATATAATAAATGCTAGGGAGAAAAAGCACGAATTCGGTGAGGGTGTGGGTCTAACATGCATCATCAACCCACACCGGCACCCCATAAAATCTGGTTCAATATTCATAATAAGTTTTGAGGGTGACGTTATAGTAAACGAATATTTCGGATTCAAACATGAGATGCCTAGTTCGAATTCGAATATAAATGGACATCCAACTGCATGGTATCAATTTGAAAATAAGTGACAGAAATAGATTTAGACTTAGTTTAAGATGGAGTGGGTGTGGTTGAGGGGCGGGTTGGAAGGGTACTCGAAAGGGGTGCGGGGATACCTGGGGCACTTCAAATATGAGTGTGGGTGAGGGGTATATATGTATTCATATGTGCATATATCGGAAAGTTAAACTAAAACTAAACCTAGGAATAGACTTAGTTTTAGTTTAACTTTTTCTTTTCTCCATTTATATTCGAACTCGAATTAGACAGCTACTCGTTAAGATCCCAAACAGACCAAACCAATAAAACAGAATTAAGCAACGTGATTGGTTAATTCACACCTAAGTCATCTTTTTGAGACGATTTAGCGGTTAATTCTGTTTTATCATTTTGGTCTGTTTGGGGCCTAAAACGCCGTTTTAACGAAATTTAAACTGATTATAACGCGTTATTTTCAAACGTTTGTCTGACGGGGTACTTATCGGTGAAATGAAGAAAGAAGAAAGAGAGAGCGCATGCTATTTGGTCGCTGCATCTTTTATGATGTTATTTTGTGACATGTTATCTTCTGCACGTTTAAATATATTGGTAACACACTTTGGCGTGCTTAGTCAGTCTGATTCTTCAATTGTTGTTTGGGTGCGGGTGTGGAATGATGATTCATGGTAGACCCACACCCACACCCTTCTAATTATTTTAATTTTGGTGCTATTTTTTTAACCGGTGTTTTTATTTCTTTGTTTGTTCTGCTGTTGAACAGTCGTTACTGTAATTTTTATCCTTATTATGTATTTAATGCACTAAGAGAAATATGATTCCGCCTTTTCTTGTTTTAAATTAAATCTTTGCGAAAATGAGAGAAGAAAAATGTCGTTTACACTATTTAAAAGTTATCATATCTATCGCCATGTTTTTTTCTCTTTTTTTGTCATTTGAAAACCATTTAAATTGTTATTACAATGAGATATTTAATAAAAGTAAGCAGAAATTCACTTCATTCGATCAGCATGTCAAGAAATAGAGATGGGATAGCTTCGGGCTATTCGAATTTAAAATTTAAAATTGAATTGAAATAACAGAGAGAAGAATCAGATCAAACTGAATTGACCCTAAATTAAAATTTGTTTAATTCGATACAATCTAAATTGTGTAATCCTTGAATTTAATCTGTGTGTTTCATTCTAAAGAATTCTCTTCATTAGCTGCCGAAAGCGTTAGTGACTTTATCATGAAAAACAGTCGACTAATTATAATCTCCTAAGTTCTTTTTTTTTGTAACACAAAATTTCTATTGAAATATCGAGATCGAATGTAGATAAAGAGTTTGCATGTACAAAACAGATTTCATGTTAATATCCTATTTTTTCTGTCGTTATCGATTTATTTTCGTACTTAGTATGCGTATGCCACCGTGCTATGTCGAAGAGTTAATGCATGTTTTTCGATGGTATATCGTGAACTATCTCGAAAATAGAAAATCTTAGATAAATTTATCTTCTCACTTAGTTAATAATGTAAATGCTCTTTTGGTCAGTTTATTTATAAGATTATGTTCTCTTCACTGAACAATGACAAATATGTTGGCGCTGAATAAGCTCTGAATCAATAAGAAATGTCATTACATTTTATTTTACTTCACGACTTTGGAAATGAAAAATACTAAATTACATTCCACATTATTTTGTGTAGTTAGTGTTTTCAGATAACTAAGTTCAGAATTCGAAAAACATCCAGAAACAATTTTGAGGTTTAGCTTTAATTAGCAAAAAAATCTTTTCTGAACTATATATTTTGTTAACAGACATGCCTTTTTTTTCAAAGAGTATTCTCTACTCATTTTTTGTGAAAAACCTTATTTTCAATGTTTCTTCGATATCTTTCTTATTTCTCAACTAATCGTTGAAAACACAAAACAAAAAATGATCAGCGCAAAAATCTCTACAAGATGAAACCAATAAAACGGGATTTGAAAACCTTTCTGTAAATGGTGGGAGGAAGCTGGTGGAAACACCCTACTGCCTTTTCTTGGAGCGACTGTTGCAACACAATGTCTAATCATTCGTCGGCGCCCCTACGGGTCGCCACTCATGGCTAGACATTCCGTGGTTAATTCTGTTTCCTCTACTAATGACCAATTTCCATATATGGTCGGAGCTATTTAGGTGTTCTTTTTTTGCAAAAAATTATTTCTTTTATAATACAGGAATTCGCACTAGGGAATTTTAATATCTAGGCTGCGTATCGAATTATTTGTCATAGTTTTTATTTGATAATTCTTCTTCAAAGTTATGTCTTACTAGAATTATCCATCAACAAAGTCTAGGCGGAATTCTTTAGAAAACCATACTGTATCTCCTCTGAATCTTCGCTTAAGTACATCTACGGTAAAGCTTTAATATCAATGTCTAGTCGAATGTGGGTGTGATCCAGTGACAGATACAACCACACTCACAGCCACAGCCACACCCTGGAAGTCATTGAAGTGTTGAAGTTTTGTTCTGTTCTTCGAAGAAATACAATTAATTTTTTCTAGAAGCAGCGAGAAAGTGAGAGAAAAAAGAATAAAAAGTAATCGGCTGTTATGCTTCGCCAAAAACGGAGTCAGTCATTTTTAATTTTTGATTTCACGAAAGCGCGTTCTGCTGCAAAATGAGCAGACGAAAGTGAGTGTTTCAAATATACAAAGATGTTATTTATTTCATGTATGTCTCCTCGCCTTGATAAACTGATAAAAAATGCGTAAAATGAAAAATTGTCGGGCCACTCATTTTTCAAAATAATTGATCATCAGAGCAAATACTTCTCTCATTTATTTTTACATTTTGAAAAAATTATCTTCTTTTTCCGTGCGCTCCTTTCTTACTTTCGCATTTTACTGTTTCGTCGTCCTCTTTTCATTTTTTATTCTAATTAATAATTGGTTGAGAATGTCTGTAGCGGGGAGGGATGCATGGGGAGCCACAAAGAGCTCGCCCTTAAACTTACATTCACTATTTTCCTCGAAAACTCACGTGAGCTCCACAAAATAAGACCTGTGGTCGACACATCGTCGCGGAAGATATGTCTTCTTACCGATCTGACTGTATGCCGAAAATGCACAAGGTTATTCAGAGCCAAACGTTTTTGAATAGCCTAATATTGTATTTAACAGAACTTTTTATGGAGCTTACATACATGTTTTCGCACGAAATAGTGAGAGCAAATTTTAAATTCAAGCTTTCCGGCCACATCTCAAATACAGACAGCCCCCCTCCCCACCCCGACCAATCCATCAATACAAACATCAGAAACTACAATTAAATATTGGATGCTATTAGAGTATCCCTGCTCCCTTCTCGATGTCCTTTTTACGCGAGAGCAGAGAGGATATATATATATAAGAGAAATAAAGCATCAAGGAATGCGAGTTGAATAAACAAATACGCATAAGAGCGCAATGACTCAAGGAATAATAACATATGACTGTAACAGATGCATATACCAGTCGTATTTTCCATTTAATCCAATGCTTATAACAATTAAGATAATAAATTAAGCAAAGAAGGTATTTCTAAAGCGAAAAATACAGAATAGGCGCAATCAATATTAGAAAGGGTGTGGGTGTGTATTTGTATGAAATAGAAGATAAACAATAACTAAACACACCCACACCCACACCCTAATTTTCTCTAACATCATTTTTTTTGTGTATATTTAAATAAAAAATTTCCGTTTTAAAAAGTCGTGTAACACCATATAATCTTGTTTTTTCAACTAGCTGATAACATAAAGTGAATATTCTTTATTCCTTCTTATCATTTTCATTTATGGATTAACCAGTATTAGTAAAATACTGGTACTACTGGTCGACCAGTATTACCAGTACCCAGTATACTGGTACTGGTGCATCCCTACTGTCAGATAATATTTTACTTATTATTATTTTTTGTTTGTTAGGTTGTGATAGTTACTTGGCGAATAGATAGACAATCTTATTCAGCAACAATAAGTATGAAGGAAACCCATCATAGGTAACATCATAAAACATTCGGAATATTTTTAACAATACAGCACAATCGAAAATAAAGTTTGCGATAATATTGCATATTCACATGAAGAACCTTGCTACTCGAGTTACGAAAGTTCAAAGCTCAGATTCGCGACGAAAGGTAGGTCGTTACATTTTATCTAGTATAATATTGGTTTGATAAGTTAAAATTGAAATCCATCCTGTTACAAAACTCTGGTCAAAACCAAGTTTCTAAAGAAATTATCATAACTCGTTGTTATTGCTTGACCAGAACTGAATAAACCAAGGGGGGAAAAGGTGATTTAAATCACAGTAAAACTCAACTTACAATCAATATAAATTAACTGTATTGGAATGAGTTTGCGTGAGTTTCGGTGCCTTTGAATGGTTTTCAGTAATAATTTATGATTTGGAATAGTTTTTAGTTACTTAAGCAAATTTTTCGTTTTCTCAAACTCATTTTAAATCAGCTAAACTCAGAAAAATCATGAAACTCATAAATCGCTTTTTCCCCCTTGGAATAAACTCTGAAATGCTCGCGTTTCTAATACGGAATCCGATGATAGAAATGTTGACATTATATATTTCTTCATTTTCGAAGAACTCTGTTAATTAAAATAATCCATACTGTCCAGCTAGAAATACTATCCTCGGATAGATTTAACGAGCATAGAACAGATCAAAGGCGACATGATTTATCAAGAATTTTGTTGTATTCAAATCTTCATGATCGTCTCACGTATTTTTGAATGATTCATAGAGTATGCTATCTTTCATTTTGTTTGCAAACGATTTGCTTTAACAACAAAGACAAAGAAAACGCATATTCTTCATGTTGAGTTTTACAGTGTTGAAAGAATAAAATGAAAACTAGTGGTCTTTAAAGAAAGTCAAGATCTCATCACGAAAAATACGGAATCAATATAGAACATCTTAGAAATGGTTTCGAACAATACATCATCTCACTCTTGTCCTAAGCACTTTTTGTGTGGTAAATTACAGTCAATTTCTCATCAATATCTATGTTCACGCGTTTTTTTAAAGTCATCATCAATACCAAACTTTCAAGCGTGTCATTACTTCTACTATTCATTTTATTCTATCAAAAACTGTAAAAAACTATATTGAATTTATTAAAAATTTTCCAATTCATCCATAACAAATAATAAATAACTGTCAGTAAATCGTAATTATGTTAATAAAAAATTTGAAAGTATGAATTTCATAATTAAAAATGAATTTTTCATAGGAAAGCATGTGAAAGATTCATATTTTGCAGTTTACAAATGTTGATTAGTATACACCAAGAGCGTACTATTGAAGAAACGAAATAATTAGTCGGATAATGTGTTTCTGTTAATATCACAGCTCATGCATTCATCTACTTTTGCACTTATCTTTTTCTGAGACAATAGCTTTAAATATGATCCATGCCTACATTCTAAACTTGAATGCATATGCTGTAATTTATAGGCACGCCGGCAAGAATCAAAAGTCTTTCCTGTATCGCCAAATCAAAGGGATGCTTCAAAAGCTTTAAATGGAAATTCAATCGTTAAGACGTTTGGCTCACAGCGTTCAATGCCTAACTTATCGGATGGCACGAAGCAGATATTTTCAGGTCCGGCATCACAGATGCATATTAATCCATTCGAAACTAAATCGCATTCCACTAATCCAAACTGCTCAGATTTTCAAAGCAATTCTCTTCAGCAGTTCAACAAGAAATCTGCTTTTGGTGATACAAGAAAATCAAAAGCGTCAACAAATAGACTAAATGAGGTAATGTGTCCTCATTTCTCTTAGATTTTTAAAATCTCTCTATTTAGACAGCTTTGGAGAATTTTAAATCTTCTAGTTATATCGAGCTAGAACAGGCTTGATTCAATTCAGCTCTATTGAAAACCCTATGTATTTATTCTTTTCTTCAGCGGAACATATCAACAAATGGTACTAACCATGATGATTTAGAGAAGGTTGTCGTAAGTGCCCAGAATTCATCACTTGATTTTCATGGCAAAGTCAATGGTCCACATGGATCGTTGCTGAGATATAACAGTTTAAAAATATCTTCTGCCAATCGTGTCAAACAAGAGCATGATAAAAAGGAAGAGCGACGACGAAGACGCCGTCATGGTGGTTGGTGGATTTTTCAGTGTCCTTGCTGTTCACCAGCATGTTGCTTAGTAGTCGGCATACTAACGGCGTTACTTTTAGCTGCCTTAGCAACATTAATCAGTGTACTCATGATGAACAAAATAAATGGCTCTATATCAACAAGTATATGCTTATTTATTTTTTCCAAATGTAAAAGCTATTTTTTTGTTTACTTATGATCAGCTGCGACCACTACAACTACTACATCGAGTATGTATACAAAAGTTTAATGAAATGATAGCAAAATTTTCAATTTTATATACCACATCTTCTAGCTACAGCAACATCTGCCACAACCACAACGACAACGTCAGTGACGACAACAACATCATCCACGAGTACGTCAACATCGACTAGTGCGACCACTGCAACAAGCAGTACTTCCACATCATCAACANACACAGCTATTGCAAATTTGACTAGACTGACATTCGCATTCCGTGAAGATGTAGGTGTCTTTGCACTTGATACAGTATCTGTAACAAGTATATTAGCACCTAGTGTTCAACTTCTTGCAAACAATGGTTTTGAAACAGGTTCTGAATCATCATGGACTTATTGTTGTCCATCTACTGCAATGTCTTGGGCCGGTGTTGCACAATACTCTGACAATATTTATAATATGGGTGTTACATATCAAGCTCAATCGGGAACGTTTTTTTACTATGATGGAACAGGATCCGGTTATGATTATTTATCTCAAATGTTTTCGACAACCGTCGGTGGTACATATACGATCTCGTATTGGCTATACAACTTAGGAAGTGGTTCAGCAAGTAGCGCTGATGTTATAATGAGTCATTAGAAACCCGTAACTTTTTCTTCTGTCTTCCTACACATGGACAAACATTTAAAAAGTAAACTTGTTCCAGTGCACGTAATGAAATATGTAGCTATTGTTAGATTGCGAGTGTATTTCATATTTTATCTAATAAATACTTTTCCACAATCGAGTTTCATATGGTTTACCACAAGGTTGTATATCTTATTTATCCATAACTAGAGTGTGGGTCTGTGTTGGTCAGCTTGTGGATGTGAATGAGAGGCTGGGTCGCGAAAGAAGATATCAACTCATACCCACACCCACACCCCTGTTCATCGATATGTTGATGCAAACATAAAGGAATGTATGCCATAGTGACTCGAACATTATTTCATTTTTGTTAGATGTGAATACTGTTCAGTGAGTGACAAAATTAATATACCACTTGACTTGAGGGTGTGGGTGTGGGAAAAGAGAAGTGAATATCCACACCCACACCCACACCCTCAGAATCTGGACCATTCAAATTTCTGGTGTACAGAAAAAGGGTTTTTTTTTGCTGTTTGCACTTCATATGTTGACTTTTTAATTATGTAGTTAATTTTTTATGTATTTCTGTATGTATTCATCGATTTAGAATTGGTTGTAGTATGTCTTCATAACTTTCTCTTCGTAATGGTGGATGTGGGTGTGGGTGTGGAAAAAGAGAAGTGAATATCCACACCCACACCCTCTTGATTATTTAATATAAGCTATAGTAGCTTTCTTATGTATAAAGCAAGATACACGTTTACCACCATTGTTAAATGTTTAAAACAAAACTACTATTTTCGCATTTGAAATTTATGCATGAAGAATAGTTTTATCATTTTCCAATTGTCATCAACAATCTATCTATACGTATTTATGAATATATCGATAAAAACAGATGTCATTTTTATTTTATAATTTATATTTCATCTACTACGTGATAAAAATGTTACCGACACAAGAATCACTTTCTGACTGCAATTAATTGGTGGATTTTTCTTATTATGGTAAACATTAAAATATATTTAAAAAGTATTTAGAAAAGAAGAATTGCCACAATTGTATTTTTATTAGTGTATAAAATGACAAGTTAATAAAAAAAAAGTAGTTTATATAAGAATAACTATTCTTTTTATTTCTTAAAATGTTTATTAAATATTTTAATTAACAAGTTTAAATGCTATATTTCTAATATATGCACTTAATAAAAATTGTTCAATATTATTATTTGTTCAGATTGTTGTTTTCATTAATAATTAATTATCATTAATAAAAATATAAATTTAAAATTTAAAAAAATTAAATTTTCAATATGAACTACAAAACAATCAGTTATGATGGACATTTTAGTTATAATATAAACCAATTCATTTGCCTATTAAAGTATTCAACATTAAAATATATAGTTGAAAAATCTTATGTTATATTGCTGTTTTCTTATTAATTTATTTGTTTAATTTTCCTAATAAAAAAAGAACTTGGAAAATAAAATATTCTCAATATGTGACTGATTTTGTGTGAGAAAATCAAATCCTCTTATCAAAATTTCTCTTTTTATTTGTTTTGATGACTAAATTTTATTTAACTAAGGAGTAGATTGTGCAAGTTTTCGTTTAACTTGAAGGAAACTATGTGCAATCTGTCAAGATATAATCTATATAAACATTTAAATTTCGAAAATTATTTGTTAATTATTTACTAATCACTTGACCATAGTTCAATAAAATGGAAAACAAATGTTATGTATGTATTCTATGAGAATACATCCTATTCCGCAATGTTGAACATTCCGGAACCAGTTCCGCTCACGGAACCAATTCCGTCTAATTCCCAGCGATTCCGTATTGACCTAATTCCGGAATTGGACTGAATTCCGTGGAATTCCGGGAATCCGACGAATCATTTCCGGAATCGGTGGAACTAATTACGGAATCGAACGAATCAATTCCGGAATCGGACAGTGTTCATATTTCACCTAATTCCGGAATCGACGGAACTGATTCCGGGGGCGGAACTGGTTCCGAAATGTTCAACATTGCGAAATAGGATGACTGTTCTTTTTACTGCATTATTATTTCATAGGTGCAGGTTTTATTTGATTGACAATATATTCAAAAACTTCACATATAATATTATAATGAGGCTCAACGCTTTACAGCCTGAAAAGGCTAAGATCAAAGTGTAGTATCTATTCTCGTCGTCGTGAAAGTCGGCGCTGACTGAATAAAAGACAGGATCTTGCGAACGATCGATTTTTGGACACTTGGTTAGGAGCATTCAAATTCACTTGGATCCTTACTATGGATCGATTCGGCACTGCGTTCCTGACGAGTTTAGTCCACTCTCGTTTCTTTCAAGGAACGGGAACACTATATTAAGGTAGCATAGAAATGAAAATCTTTTTCAAGTAAAACATAATAACTATGTAAAAAAAATGTTGAACTAACATGTCTTACGTTTTCAGATTCTATATGTTTATAGATTATTTATCAAAACAGACTTATCTTTCGCATAAATTAACAAAAATTTCATTTTCACTGCTTTTATTTCGATCTGCCTCAAAGTATAAATATAAGAGCTTACAGTTTAATAGACACGAATACAGATGATTGAATAATTTCTAACATGATAAGTCAAAACACATAATAGCATTTCAAAGTTCTCTTGTTTCCGCTTATTCGATAAACAAGAATTAATATTATAGAATAATAAGATGCTCAACAAACACTAAACCTCATCGCTTTTTTTCTTAAGTCAAAGTAGACTAAATTTTACATATAATAAGTTAGTGCTAATAATAATTTAAGAAAAATAACTGCAATAACACTAACATCGTTTTTAGTCTCCTAAAGTCCATAATTTTAATGTAAATTTTGTTTTTCTCAATATTTAATTAACTAAGAACTGAGAGATTCTTTCGGTAGTATTTTATTCCATTCTTTATTCTGATCATTTATGGTTCAACGAGGGATATCATAATATCCACAACTTGGGTATCGAGATGAATACCCAGATAGGATACCCAGTTGGATGGATATTTACGTATCCTCAGAGCTGAGGAATTTGAGTGCATTTGGTGTAACGAGATTGGGTATCGGAAATTTTCCTACTGTCAGGTCCTACTT